ACATCCCAAAGGCGTTCTACTGGACTGGGATCTGGTGACAGCTGTCTTCTGTTGTCCAATCATGGCGTGCCCATGCGAGGTTTCCTGTTCTCAGGTGACAGCAGTGCCACAGCAGTGGCATTAGGAACGGTTATTTGTTGCCTTCCTATTAGTTCGAAGCAGTCTGGCCATTCTCCTCTGGCCTCTGTTATTAATAAAGCTTTATTGCCCAGAGAAGTGCCGCTCATACTCTCTCTTTTCCCAACCACTCTCTGTAAACCCAGAGGTTGTGTGAGACCAACAGTTATCCTATATACTCAGACCAGCCGTGGCCTTACATTGTTGCGTTCAATGTCACATATTTGTCTTAACATTCAGTTGAACATACCTAATAAATTGGCTGGGGTGTGTATTTATTTGCTACAGTTTGAAACTAGACTATCAAGAAAAGGTTTAAGGACACAAAGTGAAGCCATCGGTAGTCGCCATAATCTTCTAGACAACCACATTCCACTAAGTCCTATAAAAATGTACTAATACTGAACATTTAATACATTCAACAGATAAACTCTGTATAGAAACACTCATTCATTGTCATAACCTTTCAAAAAACCGCAAAGAGGTTATATAATTTTAAGTGAACATTGCAACAAATATTATTACTGCAAAACAACAAAAACCAAAACAGAAATATTTCAAATCCTGGCTCCCTGCAGCTAAAACCAGTTGATGTTTCGGAATTTCTTTCATTACATAAAATTGCATTGTCGGTTTGTTGGTTTCCTGTTGCATGGATTGTTGTTTACGCCACAATAATATCAGAACAATGATTCTTAAAACTTGTGGAAGCGTTGTTTACCTCGTTGCTTTATCGTTACATCGTCTGTTTAGCATCGCTCGAATCTGTTAGAAATCTTTCACACGGGAACTCAAGGAGACTGTTACGGCTTTACGAAGGTCACTGTTTGATGAGAGTCCGTTGCACCTGCGTGTACACGGATGCACTGCAGAAACCAGGCGAGAAACACGAGACTGAACCAACCCGAGCCTCCCTTTCTCTCGCACAACCTCAAAGTGCAGCTATAGACGTCTCTCACATGGTTGTGATCTTCAGCATGTCCGCGGGGTCTTTGTGTGTGTGAGTGTGTGTGAATGTGTGTAAGTCATCACTCACCACCTTCTAACACTTTACACAGCAGTCAGAGTAGCCTTAAATGTGTCTTTTAAAGTCAAAATATCTTCTAAGAGGACTATGAGAGCAGTCCTCCCCTGCAGACTAAGTGCTTTGCTGGATTCGCTCTCTGTCCTAGACTTATTAAAACAACATGACTCAATTATAGTCCCGACTTAAGTAATCATGTTTTATGGCAAAACCACTATTATTATGTATGTCTGGCTGACTACTAACTCCACGAAGGAAGTCTGTCTTGCAGGTTTCACTTAAGATGTGCATTGATTTGTGCTCCCAAGCTCTCGAGCGTGCACAGGCCTACATTACTGTCTTAAATGTCTATACACACTGTAGAGACTGAACACAAACCAGCCTGGCCCCCCTTTGATCTCCGCTGTGATGGCAGAGTGCTGAAATAATGAAATTGTAATAACAGAGTACCACAACTGATGCCGGGACATGTTCGTTCAGGCATAAAGATTAAAGGAGGTGCTTTTTAAAATAAAAGATCTCAACAAGCAGGACTGATGAAGAAAGTACATTTGTGATCCAAGAAAATATTAACAAACGTCCTCGGCCGAGTTTCACCTCGATGCTCTTTGAAGAGCAGTTTGACAATTTGGAAAATGCGTTTTGCTTTCATGCTGGAATTTTATAAGCAGACTGATGCCGCTCTCATGTCTGAGCATGAGCACTGAGGAGTTTGGCTGGGATTTACCAGCAACTTTTAATTTAACACAGTCTATCTGATCTCGAAAGTGCCACACAGGTCACTAAGCAAATGGTCTCCGCCTGACCCTTGAATGAACTTTGACCTCCAGCACGTGATGCAGAACTGACCCATTCTGTTTTGGCTGTAATGACCAAATGCCTCACTGTCATCCTAACCTAACAAAGAGAGGACACACCCTCTAAAACACACGGACGCCTTATGAAACCGGAGCCTCTCCCGATGCAGATGGTATACGCGTATTGGCACATGTGCAGGAGCTCCGCTGATGTTTTGGGTCATATTTATTCCTGGCACAGGGGTTCAGAGAAAGCGTTCTGGGGCTGTTTTACTCAGAAAATGGTTTGAGAGCCAAACTTCTTTAGCGGGACCAGATGTTTTAGTTTGTATGTACACACACAAACTTTGGGTTCAGGATCTGAAATTATCATATTCAAAAATATACACTGTGATCACGTCAAGGTCGCTGGCCCCTCAGAGACACCTGATACTACTTTAAAATTGCTTCAGTGCACAGCAGGAGGGAGACATATGTATGCTAATTAAAAATCAAGAGGCTGGAGTGCAGAATTTCACGTCATTATGGCAACTTTGCTTCACAATAATCAGTCCGGCCAGCAGACTAAACATTTAGAAGAAAGAGATTTTGAATGTAGGTCTGGACAGCGGGTCGCTTCTTATTGTCAGTGCACAGATTTTAAACAAAGTATGGGCCAAAGTTTTTATCTGCAGGAAGTCAATGTTATCAAACAATGATAGCATTTCTGCAGACTTCCAGGACATGACAAAAGCATTGTGTTGTAAGGCAGGGATTGTCACAGTATTTTTAGTAAAAGAAATGCACAATTTATAAGAAGTGTGCAAAAGCTGTAGAAAAAACTGATCAGTTAAAGGAGGAAACAGCATTTCTTGAGTTACAAATTCAGTTTAGACTTCTTAAAAGTTAGATGAGAAGTTTGATAAGCCCTATCTTTAGCCACCAGCTGAATGCTCAACACAAAGACTGAAAAAACACATAAAAAGCTGAATAGCCAAGCTCGCTTCCTGCCATGTTAAACCTTTTTATTCAGTTCAATTTGCTCTATAAAGCATCATAGTTTTTTTAATACATTACCAAAGAATACTAGGTTTCAAAATCCCTGATCACACCTTCAATCAGCAAAATTACTTTTTCCCTCTTCCAGAAGCACAGTATATGCTCTAATCTAACCAGACTGAATGTGTGGTGGGAGTCTAGTTTCTTTACATAGCCTTAAAATAATGTTAACGTTTCTCTCTGTGGTTTTCAACATCACTCAATCCTCACAGACTTTCATGTTTGTCTGAAATAAAGATGTTGACAACCTTCCAAATTGCATTAAGGCTTAAAGTTATACTGCTGCTTTAAAACTCAGGCCTGTAACTGACATCTAGGCATCATCTCAGCTAATTTGAGTCATTGAATACTCAGCTGTCTTTGTGTGGTTGTGTTTAGCAGACATCTGTACCTGTGGGATGCATCTTACAAACCAAACTAATGCCAGTAAATTCTTTAGCGCTGCATCTTTTTGTCTAAACGCAGTTACACGTGGCTCAGAAAACCTCAGATGGTGAGGGCTAAAATCAGAAATTCAAGCTTTCAAAATGGGTGAGGTGACTATCTTTTATATACAGTCTAATGAGTGGAATATCTAAACCAAAGATTTAACGTTTTTATGGCATTAAATGTACATGTTTTTCATATTTTTCCACAACAATCAGCCTCACACATTTTGCATAGTAAGGGTTTCTACTAGAATTTAGAAGTTGGAAATGGACTGGTTTACATGGTGCCATTCTAGTCTTATTAACTCGTCAAAGTGCTTTAGACAACAAGCCACATACACCCATGCGTTTGGACTGTGGGAGGAAGCTGGAGGAAACCAGTGCAAGCACAGGGAACACATGCAAACTCCACACAGGACCAGGGGATTTAAACCATGAACCTTCCAACTGTGAGGCGACAGTGTGTTTGAGCACAGCTTTGCTGCATGTAATGACAGCAGAACCAGATCCAAACTACAAATGTTCAAACGATTATTAAGCTTGATTTCCATCTGCTCTATTAGTTTCTTACTGAACGACATAAATCTTTAATCCCACACATAATCTTTGCTCATTTGCTCTTCTAGCCTCCGACTTCACTCAACTCGGTTTCACTGACAGACTGCATATAATTCATCCTGTGCTGGCTGAGGCGATGTATTCTTTTCATGTACAGAGGAAGTGTAATATCCTGTTCCTGCATGAGCTCTAATACCACACTGAGGCAGAGTGGCCCCCGGCCTTTCAGGGGCCTGAATGCTCCTGAAAACTAAACTACAAGCCTTTTGAGACTGTGATATATGAGGTGGCTCTCTGTCTTAGAGCTTCAGTAAAAGTTGAGCCTAATGGGGTCCCTTTTTTTTTAGAGCACGGGAGGGGATGGTTCTCATTTCAGTGGCAAATGTACCCTGCAGCGGAGGCTCACGCATTTTAATCGGAGTCATTGTTGTGAAACTCCGCTTTCAGTGAGAGCCACAGATTGTCTGCCAGTGTGCTCTGGGATCAGCGTCAGAGCTGTCTGTGTCACCAACTTGCAGTGAAGATGAAATTAAAGTAATGTAATACCAATAAGTAAGAAATCACACGGGATTTATCAAAACGCGTTCAAATTGTTTGCAAGTTTGTGAGCAGGAGACGACTCGGGCTTTCCGGGCAGGCTTTGTGCTTGTTTTAAAGATACATTTAAAAAAAAATCTTGGTTGTTTAGGAATCACCAACTTTAACAATGAAAAACCAGAAAGTCAAATGGAAAGGTGAGGATAGAAAAAAACGCAAGGGTACAATGTAAAATAGCCCACGCAGGGTTTTTGCAGGGGTGCCTCTGAGACCCTGAGCTTCTTTCTCGTTGTAGGACTGCAGGTAAATCTTCCTCCTGCATAAATCATGGGAGCACTCTGACGTATTATTTTGGTAAACTCTGTTTGGCAAGCAAAACACACGCACACACCTGCGAACAATCGGTGGGAGGTCCACCTGTAGGTCCCAGCAGCGGCGGAGGCAGGCTGGTGAGTCCTCCTTCTGCCACCGTCACCATAGCCGAGAGAAACCAGTCGGACGTCCTCTGCGCCTCCGGTTCACACATTGCAGGATTCAGACGCGCAACGGGAGGAATGCGAGGCAAAAATCGGTGTTTATTTGGACTTTTGGATGAGAGAACTTCCTTTTAACGCGTGCGTTTTGATTTCGAGAGTCTCCGGAGCCCATAAAAAGGCTTTAAAATGTCTCACCAGCAGCGACTTGTTCAGCTCTCAGCAGCTTCGCTGGCTGTAGTTTTCGGCACGGACGAGGAGAGTGTGCGCGCCGGCGGAGGGAAACTCGGCGGCACCGGTGCGAACGGTCAGGAGATTTTCGATGACTTTAAAGCGCAAAACTCGCGAAGTTTCTGGAATAAGAGACTGGTCAAGGCTATAGCTGAGGTGTACTTTCAGGGATGGATGGAAAACTTCGTGCTTTTCATTCAAGGCAACGCCAGCAACTTGGAGGTGCTGAGGGAAGCGTGGATGCGCAGGGCTTTGAGGTCACCGAAGGGATTTATCATTAAAGCTGTCGGTATGTGAGCGAAATGTCCACAAAACACACTTGAAAGAAGAAGCAGCAGAACGTGTGTATACGCCACTGTCCCGTTTGCAATGCAAATAAGGTGATAGGACTCATTCAGCGCAGTGAACAGCTTCTATTCATGTAATGGCACAAGGTGTTTTTTCTTTAAAGGGGCTCTTTATTGTAATCACACCACCAACAACACGTTTACCACCCTGAGACAGATGTGTGAAAGCTGTAAAGTGTGACTGACACAGAGCTGGCGCAGTGGAACTCCACAAGTTGTAGAAGTTGTAGCAGTAAAAGTGGAGTTTACATTATTTTAGGTTTATTATTGTAGGTAGGATCTCTAAAGAGACAACGTGTTGCCTGCTTCATCACTTTGATCTGTTCAGTTTGCTTGGAAGACTATGTTTCTAACTAGACCCCCACCCCACCCATCAAACCCCTCAAATGTCTGGTGTGTTTTGGAGAACTGCATCCCAAATCCGTCTGTTACTGACACAGTCATATGTTTACCCCAGCTTGTTAACAAACCTCCCTGTAATTGCTCCTAATTGCCCCCCTCTTCTCTGGCTGTGCTTTAAAGCAGCACATAGCGACACAGAAACAATGGAAATGGGGCAGAAACCTTTATGCAGCCTCCTATAGCATGATCTCACAGGCTGTAAATGTCTGACAGCACTGACCCCTGGAGAAAACGACAACCTTGTGTGGATTTTAGAGCTAATGACCTTATTCTTAACTGATACGTCCTTTTTTCCCTCCTTACTTTAATCTGTAGGTTTTTACAAATAAATGTGTGGGGACTAATACTTGACCACTTTTAAAATTACACAATTATGACATGAAAGTTAAAATCTCCAAAGGGTGTAGAAGGTGTTTTTCCAAATCTTGGCTGTTCGGGCAGTGTCCCAGTGTTGCAGCTGCCTTCCAACAGCTTCCCGGCTGCTTGCGGTACTGACGTTTCCCGGTCTGTCTCCAGAGTAGGGCCTTTTGTCTGGATGTGTGCCTTCTGCTGTCTTACCTGCTGACTTTGCGTCAGCTCTGCGAGACCGAGCAGTTCACAGACAAGCAAATGAAGGAATGTGAAGGGGAGGAAGAGACCACACAGAGGGAGACCCTGGGAGGGCGTGGACTGACTGAGAGAGGGAGAGGGTGGAGGCTGACATGCCATCCCACTGAGCAACCCCTCCTGGCCCTGACAAACAAACACCACATGGGCCAAAGGTGATGTTGCACCTATTGTTATGCACGGTCCAAAAGGTGTGCACGTTCATGCGTGAGCTCGTGTTCGAATGTGTTCTCCACAGCAGATGCAAACACGTCTGCGTGTGGAAATACCACCTCCTTCTCATCCTTAACAAATCCTTCTCCTCACACCGCAGAAATTTGTATGGAAATAAGCTCTGGCAGGTTGTCAGAGCCTGGTTTACAGTCTTCTCGCTGAGAGCTGGTCAGCAGTGAATCACTGAGCAACTGCCTGCCGACCGCAGCCGCTTTTCTGTTACCCAGGATTAATGTCCCTCCGTTTCATGGCCAGTGTGGGACTGTGGAAGTCAGACTCCTAGATTGATATCAGGCATGGACTTAAGGCCTTGACATTGTCCTGATATAAATATGTCAGCTCGAAAACACAAAATGTTATAAGTTATGGGCTACAGTGAATTTCAAATAGCCCTATTTCCTTTCTCAGGTCAGAGGAAGGTTCAGACTTTACTGCAGTGTGGAAGTTTTTTGTGTGTAAGGAACGCCTAATTTAAGAGATGCTCAGCTGAAGCTAACCAGATGTAGGCAAAGTTAGTTAAGATTGTCTAAAAAGAGACAAAGAAAGAGAGACGCAGGTGACATAGATGGTCCTGCCTGGTTATCTGTGCTGATAGTCTCAGTGTAGAGAGATTGGCTTGTGGTCCCATCACACACTCACCCACTCCCACTGAGGTAAACAATCAATGTGAGAAGTTGGTATGGAGTGTTATTAACGTGGGCAATGGACCCAGTGGAACTGAGGATCTCTGATTAAACTAACTCTTGTCTGCAGGGCATTCTCTCATTCTTCATCCAGTGTCCTTCTGCAGGATAATAGCACTGTGGGGTTAGAGGTGGGGATAGCTCAGTAGGTAGAGTGGTGGCCCCATGATCGGAAGGTCGGGGGTTCGACTCCACTGAACGGTTACCCTGAGGTACCCCTGAGCAAGGTACCGTCCCTACACACTGCTCCCCGGGCGCTGCACTGGTGGCTGCCCACTGCTTCACTGGGTGAATGGGTTAAATGCAGAGGAACTATTTCCCTATGGGGACTAACACACACACTTATTTATACTGTAAAACCAGCTCACTTATGACTAGTGTGAGCATTTAGTTTACTGGAAATGCAGCGCAGTTACAGTACCTCAATTATCACCCATTTATGACATGTGCTATATTTACTACAATTTGTGTGGATAACATCTATTGAAATGGCTGCAGGTATTATGATGCTTAATATGTGGAGCTGGATAAAGCACCACAGCTGTAGTTTTTAAAGACTATTCCAGTAAAGGGTGATCTGGAACTACATCAAAATGGAGTTGTAATCAAGAGGGAAAAAAACAAGACTGTGGGATCTGGAGATTTTTTACACCACCTTAACAGCTTGTTTCTTGTTAAAGGGACGGTTTATTTTCAATCAGTGAGTTGCCTTAACAGAAAATGCCTGTTGTGGGTTAAACGTGCTTGAGCAAAGCATTCGATAATTAGCTCTATACCTTGACTGTGGAGCTAGAGTGGTTTATCTAGACTTGCATAAAGACAAAGCCTAAAACAGTCCAGATGAAACAAACAAGCACATCAGTTTGTGGGTACTTTTAAGAATCTTTTCAAACTTCAGGATGAGCAGGCTTGCTTCTCCTTACTCTTTCTCCGTAATTAAAAGGAAGTCAGTGTCATGAAATTCTCAGTAAGAGGGTAAAAAAGTTTTTTTTACTCCCCCAAAAAGTACAACTCTTAATTTAATCCAATTGTAGCTTCTTATTGCTCATTAAAATGCTCAAAGCACGTTGTTGGCTTTGTTTAAATTTAATTCTTTAATTCTCAGCGGTAAACCACTCCAGCTGTCCCTTTGAAACCAGAGGCTCGGTAATGACTTTTAGCTGGTTCTGCATTATTTAGCGTGCCACTATTGTCCCCCGCAGCAGGATGAGCATGGAGACACAGGCTTAAACATTTATATGGAGTAAGCCACCGGTGTAATGAGGTGTTCTGTATCCTTTCTACTGTCAGTCTCTGCAAACCTTCTTTCCTTTGAACGCAGGCGTAAACAAGTCTTCTCACCTTTGTCGGTGAAATCGCTACTTTTCAGCACATCTGTGTCATTCTTTGAGCACTGTAAGGCATGACTAAGCTGCTCTTTTTAAGCCAAGTTTCTTTTTTTAAATGGTATGTTTCATTTAACTTGCCATACCATGAGGTGGTGATGCATTCCTGAAATGCTTCATTTACTCTTGAGATCATTTCCTGAGCTTGCAGCTATGCAAGTCTCATTTCTGCCCTTTACTTTTCACTTGAAAGTGTTGTATTTTCACACCAGGGGTTTCTCCTTTCATGGGGGTATTTTGTCAGAGTCTCAAAGCGCTCCGCTAATAGTCATAACTCTTCCAGATGTTAGCTTATTAACCATGACACCCCCTTGCCCGCCCCTAAATGGCCCACCCTGTCCTAACTAAGCAGCACAGGTCAAAGGTTACAGCCTTCTTGCTAACAAGGTACCTCGGGGTTATTTAGTTTCAGAGGGTTTTATAGAAAGAAACATACATTTAAACAGTATCCAGGTGTTCTTTGCTCACTGCGTTTCTGCTTACGTCTCAGTATTTTACCCACCGGGTTACAAATGTGCACTTGTGAATGGACATGTCAGGCCTGCATTGATCAATATTACTGGTAACATTATTGCTATTCATTCACTATATATATATACTATAACGGTCTACTTTTAGATAACAATTTCAACCTCTTATTTAAGTTTATTCTTCTTTTTTTTTTTTTTAAATTAAAACTATTACTTTAAGCTTGCTATTTCAGTGTCAGGTGATCATTATTACTTCTATCCAGCTATTTAGTTTTTTATCCTTTCCTGCAACAGTGTCAATCATTGCCATAAGTTAACCATTAGTGTTGGCTAAAGCAAACTTCCTTTTGACCACCTATTGAAATTTGATCAGCTTATAACGAATAATCACATTTATCTTTGTTTTTCACACTCAGTTTTATGACAGTGGCCGTGGTTTCAAAGAGGTCCTAAGGTATGAATTTAAAACTATTTGTATACCAATCAGCTGTGTGAATGTTTTAACATCTGCCATAAATGTTGCTTTGTTGGTCAGAAAACATCTCATTGCACTGCCAAGATGAGAGATGAGGCATGTTGTAGATGCAGTTTGCAGGATCTGTAACAAGTGCTGAATTGGAGTGTTAAGAAAGGAAAATTCCATTAAATTCTAGTGTTAAACTGAATCTTTTTCCCTAAAATTGCAAAATAGGGCAACGGTTTAGGTAGTATTTGCATGTTTGAAGTGCCTTCTTGCCTCGTTCATATCTATAAATAACCAGTTTAAAGGGAAATTAATTAAATTGTAACTTGAAAGGATTCTCTGTGATTTTTGTGCATATTATTTAAGTTTCAAATTGCTTTTCAAATTGCATTATTAGTGTAAGATGATTAGGATGCAGCCTTTTACAATCACTTTTACTGATTTTGCTTTTGGCAAGATATTTTTCTACATTTATCTACAACATTTTTTTTAGTTCCTGTGGCTGCAAAAATAGCTTAGCAAATAATTCAAAAACCTTGACCTGTATTCTCAGATGTGACCCTCCGTGTGTGTGTATGAAGGACTCTGCATGTGCATGCAGTCCTGCCACATCATTTGTTTGCCACATCCTTTCCCATTAAGCAGGAAGCTAACCCCGGTGCGAATCAGGCATGTCGGCCTCTGCATCGACCCAAACACTGGGCTCACCCGCAGCGGCTG